TTAACATTTTACATTTTAAAGTTATTTAAATCTTAGTCTGATGTTTGCCTTTGACTAAATACATGGGTGGTTTACTGGTTCAGATTTCTATGATTCTATTTTTATTGCTAAACCGTATTTTCCTTAGTTTTTGTCACAATTTATCAGAAATTTTTCGCAACACTGTTATGCTTATTTGCATGAAAACAACGTATAAATGAATATATTTTATGGTTTTCATAGTACGAAGACGGGTGTTCGTTTTCGTAATTACAAACGCCAAAGACCCATCTTAGGTCTTCGGTTTAGTCGTTTTCGTAGGTCGTCGTTTTCGAAACACCCAATATTTGATTGGCAATTTTATGCAAATTTGTCAAATATGCTTAAACATTGATAGCTCAGTCAATGTTGCACAGACATTTATATATCAAAATCTAATAAATTAGTGCTTTTTTAATACAATACAACTTATTTGAGTGCAATACCTTTTATAGTTTTAACGTTACATTGAATCAAACAGCGCAAGTTTTTTTGGGACACCCGATCTGCATGCACATCACATGTGGAAATCAGGGGCGTAAATGTCGAGGGCTTGGGGGTGGTTCAAGTGGGATACTCAATACAGTCTCCAAATAATGCATTGTGTATATATCTGGATACGCTGATGGCCTGTGTTGTACCACATGCACTTTGGAGAGGAAGCTGCACTGATGAGGCGTAGGATGCCGAAACATGCATGATGTTACACAGGGAAATTTTTAATCCATTTTTTATGCTTTGAAAATTATGAAGAATGGCTTTAGTTTTGTTCCGGAGCGTTTTCTATTTTGCGTTATGACGTCACAGGTTGTGCTTAAGATGGCAGCAAAAAAGAAGAAAGTCAACATATCAGAAGTGATGGAACAAAATTAAATGAAATTTGGTCCAGTTAGTAAGTGCACCTAATTAGCTATGACCACCACATAAGCATTCTAAAACGTTTGCTTAGGTGCACTGACAACTCTACCAAATTTCATTTAATTTTGTTAAATCATTTCTGAGATATGCAGCCATTTTAAGCACAACCATTGATGTCATAACAGAAAAATACAAAATGCCCGATAACCTGGGAATGAAATGAGGTGTAAGACGTTGTTAAGGTCGTTCTTCATAGTTTTCAAGATACTCTCAAGTGATAAAATAACCCAAACAGTAATAAAAACTTTCACACAAGCTAATTGTTATCAGGTCATTTTCGATAACTTTTAAAAAAACGTTTCTCTTTTAATTTTCTAATTTAATTAACAGGTTGTGATCGCTGTGGCGCACCAGTGAACAATCCAAAATGCGAAAAGACACGCTTTGGCAATTATCACTGACACTGCACCGAATACAAGGTGGGGAAAAAAGTATGCAGAAAAGACACTCCCCGCCAACTTGCATGTTAAAAAATCGTCAATTCCTTGTGCGGGGAAAGGAGTCTTCACAAAGGAAAATGTAAAGATTAACACACGTTTTGGGCCATACACTGGCAAAAATATTAATATAGATAATATCAACGGCATGGACTCTTCGTACATGTGGGAGGTATGTTTCTGTTCTTTGGTTGTATATCAGGGTCTTAGTTAGAGGACCGTGTTTATTATCACGGCCAAAAATGGAAAAACACGGCTAGATAAAATGAACGCGACTTCATTATTTATATAAGGCTGTGTATAGGTTCATAAAATAAGGTCTGTGTTACTGCTTACAACAGATATAATTTCTTACTATATTTACATCGTAAGAAAGTTTGTAAAATCTACTGTAGTTGTTGAAATTGGCAAAACTGATCCGTCGGATGTTTTAATGTTTTGATGGATTTGGTGTTACTGTAAAATGGTTTTAAATACCCCTAAGAGTTGCTGAAATAACGTAATGTTTTAATGTCAGTGCGCAATATCAGTGTATGCTCGCTTTGTATTTGGTTCCAAAGCATAGAGCAACCACAGGCATTGTCTGTTGTTGGTGAGCCATAACTAGAACCGTGAATTTGGCTATTCAAGGTAATTGACATGTGCACACCTTGGTCTGATGGTTACGGTTCACTACTCCGAAGGTTCACTACTCCGAAGGTTCACTAGTCCGAAGGTTCACTAGTCCGAAGGTTCACTACTCCGAAGGTTCACTAGTCCGAAGGTTCACTAGTCCGAAGGTTCACTACTCCGAAGGTTCACTACTCCGAAGGTTCACTATAGCTAGTCCAAAACATACGCTGGTTTTGAATTACAATTACGTGTTAAACTTGGCTGCTTCGCAGTTAAGCATTTTTCGTACCTGCATACATACATACATACATACTTTATTGTGTTCCCTAAATAGGGATTTTCAACACTGATTTACAAAAAATAAATGTTGTTCTATTTACAAGTTTTAGAATCTAGAATTTAAATTAAGGTAAAGAGGTAAGACATTTGTATAAAGTTTAACAAGGTAAAATTATCTACTTATATATTTGTTCTAGCATGCTTCGCTTCAGTTCGTTTTTGAAAGTTTTTAGGGAGTCTAACTTTTTGTACTTTATGTCCAAATCATTCCAGAGTGTAACGCCTCTATAATGGAAGGACCTTTGACCTGCAGAAGTTTTGTACAATGGTATTTGCAGTGAGTCATGGCTACGTGTATCTCGTTGATGAATGTCAGAACGTTTTGTGAATAAATCGCTCAAATAATGTGGAGCAAGTTCATTGACACATTTGTACATCATAATAGCCTCTCTTAGTAGTAATTGTTCCTTTACTGGGAGCCAGTTAAGTTCACGTAAGCCCGGCGAAATATGGTCGAACTTTCCAATATTTGTTATTATCCTGCATGCAAAATTTTGTACCAACTGTAGTTTCTTAATGTTGGTAGACGAAGTGTTTGACCAAACCGTTGAACAATAGAACATTTTGTTCATTACAAGTGCCGAGACGATGAGAGTTAAAGCTTCTTTATCGAAACATTTTTTGACTCGGTTTATTTGGCACAGGGAATTCATACATGAGGAAACCAGGTTGGTGATATGCTGGTCATATGTCAAATAAGAGTCGATTGTCATTCCTAGATCTTTGGCAAAGGAGACGGGGGTAATAGTCTCGTTGAGGAAGTTTATGGTCATATCTACGGGAAGTTGTTGTAGGTTTTGCCGTGTGCCAATCAGCATATATTTGGTCTTTCCCGGGTTAATAAGCAATTCATTTTCGGAACAACTGTTTGCAATCAAATACAAGTCTTCCTCAAGTTGTTGCTTTAAACAGTCCACGTTAGCCACAGTGAAAGATAGTAATATCTTGGAGTCGTCCACGTACGATTCAAGTTTACTATGGTGGACTGATGAGGGCAAATCGTTAGTATAAATACTAAAAAGTAAAGGTGATAAAATTGCACCCTGTGGTACACCATAAAAAACAGGGAGAGGAGCAGACACAGTAGATCCAATTCTGACTGATTGAGTTCTTCCGGTCAAGTAACTCTCAAACCATTTTACAACGCTTGGAGAAGCCCCGACGTTGCTAAGTTTTGTAAGGAGAAAAGTATGATTTACACTGTCGAAAGCTTTAGATAGATCTATTAGAATCAGTGCAGTAACCAATTTCCCATCCATGGCCTTTAGGATAGTATCTCCGGTCAAAAGATTCAATGTTTCGCATGAGTGATGTTTCTTGTTCCCGCTCTGGTGGGTTGACAATTTTTTGTTCTTCATTAGATACGAACCAAATTGATTCAAGGCGACTTTTTCACAAATTTTCGAAAGAAAGGTAAGGAGAGAAAGTGGGCGGTTATTTGATGCTTCCTCGTGGTTTCCATCCTTTAACAAAGGGATAACTTCTTCCTCTTTCCATGCTATAGGGAACGAAGATGACGACAGTGAACAGTTAATGATATCGGTGAGGGGCCCAAGAATTACCGGTAGGCTGTGTTTGATGACACGCATACTCACTTTGTCTTTGCCGGGTGATTTGTTTGACGGCATAGCTAATATGATGTTCCTTATTTCTGAACAAGAGACTAGGGTGAAACTAAATCTATCATTTTCTTCAGGGTAGCTGTTATCTGTGCGATTTACGTCAGAAAGATTCCGAGCTGGATAAACACTAGGATCTTGTATTAGTGTTGAGGCTTTCTTTGCTGCATTCACACCAATGGTGGAAAAGAAATGATTAAACTCTTCGGCCACTAATTTCGGTTCCTTACTGTAGACCACCGACTCTCTTTCCCTATACGCTATATTTTCTTTAATTAATTACCTTCCAAAGTGACCCAGTATTGTTTCTGTGTTGCTGAACTTCCTTCAGTACATATTCTTTCTGTGCATTAACAAGTGCGGTTTTTGTAAAATTGCGGCCCTCTCTGAAATTAAGCCAATCATAATGATCACGTGTTTTCCTGAAAAGACTGTGGAGCTGGTCTCTTTTGATCATGGATGCTTTTATTTCCGGGGTGATAAATGGGCAAGATTTTCCGCGTACTTTTATGGTCTTTACTGGGGCGTGTTTATCCAATGTATTTAAAAATATTTCATTAAAAATGGTTAGTTTTTCATCAACATTGTCCATTCTGAAAATGGAAACAAGACGATCACGGTTGGATGCCAGATCGATCGCGAACAAATCAGGGTCGTATTTATTGTAGCTGCGGGTAGTGATATAGTTTGGTGGAGATTTGTCGGTTTTAAGTTTTAGTGATACATACACAGGGAAATGATCGCTGATACAGGTTTCTATGACGCCGCTGTTGACTACTAGTCTTGGCGAGGATACGAAAATAACGTCGACGAGGGTCTGACTGGATTCAGTAATTCTTGTTGGTGATTTTATTAACTGGTTAAGGTTGAGTTCTTTTGTCGTCTTGATCAAAGACGCTGATCCAGGTGTGGGCTTAAGCATATCGCAGTTTAGGTCTCCAAGAAGAATGATCAACTTTCCCATCGTCAGAGCATGAACATAATTAGGTTTAAAATATTTTTCGAAGCAGTCAAGCGGGCTGTCTGGGGGTCGATAAGAGACACAGACCAGCAGTGATTTAGATTTTTTGTGCTGTAATTTGATCCATAATTGATGGAAATTCGTCTCGGAGATATAACTGAGGTCTTTAAGTACAAGAGATTTAATATCTTTTCGTATGTAAGCACATACCCCGCCCCCTTTCTTGTGCAGTCGGTCTAAACGATGTAGCTTATAACCTTCGATTTCTATTTCCTTGTTTGTGACGGAGGTATTTAACCATGTCTCTGATACTGTAAGGACGTCAATTTTGTTAAATTTGGTAAACTTACGTAATTCTAAAAAATGGGCGTTATTTTTCAGAGAGCGGATGTTTAGGTGGACCAGTTTGAGACCTGGAAGGGTACTGAGGCTGTTATCTGACTTTTTTGTTAAATGGGCTGAGGCCGTATCATTAGTGGTTTTCGACGTGAGTGACCACGAGAGTGCGGAAGCGTTTGGAGAGGCAGGGTTGGACAAAGGAACACGAACAAGATTTCTATTTTGCAAGTTATTGTTAACACTAGAAGAATTATTAATGGTTAGTTGATATGATAGTCTCTGACGTGATGGTCTCTGACGTGAAGTGATTCTAACAGGTATTTTCATCATATTGTTTGCTGCTGACTCGTCAAACAGGCCACTGTGTGGAGATGGGCCAACCACTCTAGAGAGTGGTGGCGGTGGGCTGTCCGATACGAAGGAATGACACGACAACGTTTTAAAAAAGGATACCGGCTACAATGGTGCCTTCGAAACCCTAAGGGGTTTGTAACTTGACCGTGTCTAAGACTTGAGGGTCTCGGGGCTGGAAGATGAGGGGACGAACAATGCTTTAGATTTGACTCGCTGATTGACCTATCCGATCGGGGATTCACCTGGTCATGGTTAAGGGCATCAAGGCTTAACACGGTTTTTGCATAGGATCGATCGCAATTCCTACATATGCCTTGCTTCCCACGTTGCTTGAAATGTTGACACCCATCGGATAAATCCTGCTCACGCTGATCTAATTCATTTTCGTCAAAAGTGAGGTTTGCAGAAACATCTTCGATTATACTTAGATCTTCGCATAAGGGCAAATAGTTTAAAACATTCTTAGCCTGAAAAGGCTCGCGGTTCAGGCTTTATGAGTAATCTTTTTTGAAGGAGTTGATTGTAGTCTTAGATTGTTGTGTGGATAATAGGGCATTGTTCTTTATTTCAATGATAACTGTAGGGAAACTTTCCTCAGCGGGCAGGTTATCTACATTAACTGGGGTTGATAATGCACCAGATGGGTGATTTATTTTAGTTGATCCATCGTGTTGGGGATTTACATTGTCAGGACTGTTAAAGGACTTCTTATCTTGTAAAGATGGCTTTGAGGGACTTGAAAAGGTTATGGAAGCCGAGTCTTTAATCATCATTTTCTCCTCTAGGTCGGTAATGCGTGACTTTAAATTCAAATTCTCGTTTCCTAATCGGCACAGCTCTTGTTTATTTGTGTCAATAATATGATTTTGTTCAGACACTTTAGTCAACAATTTTTCTATTTGCGATTCTATTTTTTCTTTAAATGTAAGGAGTTGTGCCTCGGCTATAGTCGGGATATCATCAGCTCGTTGTTGAAATGGTGTAGAAAAGCTGGCTGTCTGAGCAAAATTCGGCGTGGCTGCGACATTCGCAATATAATATGCGCTATCAATGAAGTCCTCAAGTTCTTCGAGTGACGAAGTGTCAGCAATCGATTCAAACCCCATATCTTTGGCTTGAGTATTGCACGAACAATTGTGAGTTAAAGGGGCCATGTCCTCAATTTAAATCCACTTGAAAGTCCTTTGTCCACTTGAGAAATAATTAAATGAATAAAAGGAAAGCATTTAGTTTTGTGTTTGATTTTAAGTGTACTTTTTAAGCAATTATTTAGAAAGATTTAAACTTTTCCGAGTGTATACGTACGTAAAAAAATGCGCAACTTGAAAGTAGCCTTAAGGCAATGTGACCAATGACTACGGATGCTACGTGAAATTTGATTGTTACGGTTCATCATTGAAATTTGTCCTGTGAGTAACATCTAGCTTGCACAAGTTGTGACTCATTAAGATAACGAAACAACATATTTTCTTTTATTTAATGCATATTTCTTCATACTGCTTTACCTAAATGACAAAATTGCTATGCTAAAATAAAAAAGTGTTCAAAAGATTATTCTATTTATTATATTGTAGCTGTTTGCAGGACATAAATGCATAACTGAGAGTTTCATAATGATTGCGAGACAACAACGTTCAATTATTATTAGCTATCTACAACTGTAACACGCCATGACGTGGCCTGAATTTCCCAATCCTAAACCAATACCCTAAATCTGAACCAAAGAATTAGTGTAAATATAGGCACTTTTTGAGGTTCCTTCTACCCTCAAAAAATGTTTTAAGGTAGCTCCATACAATTTCTTCAATAAATTGTCCTAATGATTGCTCATACTAGGAAAAACGTTTAATAAAATAAAAATTGGGGGGCACCATTGTTGTCTTCGAATTAAACTAGTTTAAATGCAAATTAGCAGCCATTTTTTGAAATGCCATTGTTGCCATGGTAACCATAATTACGGACTTTTCCGTTACAGTTTCTGATTCTCAAAATACTGTTCTATATACATGACATCTGGTTTCATTCTTCTATAAAAATATCAATGTACAAAACTTTTTGGTCTGAGAGAAATTTTTCAAGAAACTGTATGGAGCCACCTTAAAGCGAATTATATATTCAAGTATGACGTATATGTTCAAGTATGACGTCATGGTACTGCATGTTAGATAAGACCCAGCTCGAATTGCTCTAAAATGTAGTTACTAGATGCGATACTGCATTCCAATAACGCTGAACATCTCTGACTCCATTAATGTAGTCGGTCTTGAATCTCTGAAGTTGATTTTCTAACCGTTGCCAGCGGCGACGCCTTCGTGTGGGTTGCCCACCGTTATCCATAGAACGGATGCCTTGATTGGTTTGAGCCTGAAGATCCTTCAAATGCCTTATAAAGATCCACAAGTTGGGATGGCGTACTTGCACACGGTTGTTCCAAGCGCGATGAAAGCGTTAATAATAAAACCACTAAATTGAACAATTGCAAGTAATATATACGTGGACAAACGTGCATGAATATAAATAGGCAGTTATATACAGTTTTTCATGTCTTGAGTGTTGAGTTACGCTGCCACTTTTGTAGTTCTTGGAATGGTACCAAAAACATGAAAGTCTGTTTGTATCTCAGAGTTGATTCAATATAATTGTTATTTTTATATGGTTGTCATGGAAACACATTAGCAATCACGCCCATATGAACGACAAGATTTTAATGAGAATCACTTTAGAGATATCAGACTTTCGTCTTTTTGCTGCCATCTCAAACACAAATAGTGCCGTCATGAGGACTGTCAAAGTACTGAAGAATTGTGAATACACGTAAATATATTGGCTGTTCCATTATTTAAATAAATAATAAAACAATTATTGATATGGAGAATTATCATGACCTCTGTTCCGGTTCGTGTTACTAAGCTCAACCTTAGGCTACGTTGATAACACAAACTTCGGCTTGATAATTCTACATATCATGCGAAAACCGAATCACAATAATTGATAAATCAACTGCAATTACCTTCAGCGTTATTGTTTGTACGGCAATCCATGTCACGATCGTACACATTCCACAAAGTTACAGGAAAGTTTCCATTGATGTGGTTGTTGAATACGTAGTTGAAAAACTCCACCAAACCTGGATATCTCCTAAACAATCGCCGTGTCCTATTTTCTGTGCGCAGTAATGCAAAGTTATTTCTCACGATGGCTGTTGGCAAAAAACCGATGGACATTACTTTTCTAATGAGCTTCTTCACACGCTCGTGGTTTCGATAGGCCCGGGTCAAACCAAGGTCTTTGACATTGTAAATCATTGGAAGGGTTTTCGGTGTCATTCACTCATTATCAGTTTATCACAAACCGTACATGCAAGAAACCAGACAAAAAAACTTGCTAATATGCCGGCGAAACACAAATGTAAAGAGGGCATATAGGTACAGAGCGATCTAAATCGGCCAAACAAAATCTTTGTGGTGCACAGAAGATTTAACATGCACCAGGACGACATAATCGAGGTTGAAGGTCAAACATCCGGTATCGAGTATCACATCTATCCGCATATTGTCGATTACAATTACAACTTTCGCGGCAAAAGAATCGGTGGTTATAACATATTTTTCTATATCTCGGTCACATTTTAATATTTTGGAAGAAAACCTGCGGTAATAGAGAGATCCCCGGCCCATGTATATTAATAAGAATGTAAAAATGATGAAATCATTGTTTTCATAATGTTCAATGACTATCGGAGGCTACACGAAATCTGGCCTGCCAGAGGGCCTATATATATAGTTGCATTTTTCGCAACTCTCCTATTTTTGTGTAATAAATGTATAACATTTACATTAGAAAATGTCCGTCTACAATTAGATCTATCGAGCGAGATGCCAAAAATCCTAATTCGTTATATTAATAACCTCTTCTCCTTTTGGGAAACAGAGACGCCAACTCTTACTTATAACAGTTTTACCAACATTCCGGCTAAGACAAAGCTGCATGACACACTATGAATGTTGTGTTAATGTAATTTACTTGGCTTGTAAGGACTCAGGCTTTCTAATCTTAGGCTTTTTCTCCTTAGGGGAACAGTAACACCAAAACTGTTACTTATAACAGTTTTACAAAGATTCTGGCTAAGACAAAGCTGCATGACACATTATGAAAGTTATGTTAATGTAATTTACTTGGCTTATAAGGACTCAGGCTTTCTATTTTTAAGCTTTTTCTCCTTAGGGGAACAGTAACACCAAAACTCTTACTTATAACAGTTTTACAAAGATTCCGGCTGAGACTAAGCTGCATGGCACATTATGAAAGTTGTGTTAATGTAATTTACTTGGCTTGTAAGGACTTATAGTCTTTCTATTCTTAGTCTTTCTCTCTTTTGGATGAACAGTAACATCAACTCTTAATTATAACACTTCAACAAGCAATCCGGCCAATCATGTTATAGTATCGATGTTTTAATTTGCTTATATATAAAGCTTGTAACATCGCAGTTTTAGTCAGTTGAATGTCGAGTTTAGTTTAGGATCAAGATCAAGCACGCTGCGAATCGAATTGGATGGCTAGAATAATCACGGGTGCGAGAGGCATTGGAAGGGTTCTAGTTGAAGACGGATTTAAATATCAGTTTAATCGACAGAGTCAATCGACGATGCATTGGCGATGTTGGCGAACAACTTGCGGCGCGAAACTAAAGACTAATCTCTTCGACAGGAATGATGAAGATCCAAACGTTAGAGTGGTGGAGAGAGAGCAGCATGATCAGGAAGAAGACGATGCCGTTATACAGAAAGGAATCTTTCTCAACGATGCCAAAGGCAGTGTACGAGACGATCCAGCCAGACCAATAAAGCGAGTTTATGACCAGCACGTTTCAGCAATTCACAGAGAGGCTGGCGGATCCGATCAAGAAATTCCTGATTTTCAATCCGTTTGGTCACAAATGTCAAGGGTGAAATCGGCTGAAGTGCCCGACACGCCCCAAGATATCGACGACGTCAACATCGAAGGTTCCTGGGCACGATCATGGAGAAACAAAAGGTTCCTGCTACATCAGGACAATGATTGGGGCATCGCTATTTTCGGCACTCGAAGAAATCTTTGTGCGCTTGATCAATGTCAACAATTATACATGGATGCAACTTTTCGCACAGCCCCACGACCATACGAGCAAGTTTTCACTATACTTGGCGAGTACTACGGACGAGTATTGCCACTGGCCATCGTACTTATGACAAATAGGGCTATTGGCCATTATAGGCAAGTGTTGCAAGTTCTCCAGCGTAAAATTCGGCGTGCGACTGGAAGTGAATGGGAACCCGAGGCAATTGTATGCGATTTTGAGCAAGCCCTAATCACTGCTACCCAGACGGAACTACCTAACACCAGAATAGAGGGATGCTATTTTCATTTTAACCAGTCTCTCTGGCGCCATGTCAAAGACCTTGGTTTGACCCGGGCCTATCGAAACCACGAGCGTGTGAAGAAGCTCATTAGAAAAGTAATGTCCATCGGTTTTTTGCCAACAGCCATCGTGAGAAATAACTTTGCATTACTGCGCACAGAAAATAGGACACGGCGATTGTTTAGGAGATATCCAGGTTTGGTGGAGTTTTTCAACTACGTATTCAACAACTACATCAATGGAAACTTTCCTGTAACTTTGTGGAATGTGTACGATCGTGACATGGATTGCCGTACAAACAATAACGCTGAAGGTAATTGCAGTTGATTTATCAATTATTGTGATTCGGTTTTCGCATGATATGTAGAATTATCAAGCCGAAGTTTGTGTTATCAACGTAGCCTAAGGTTGAGCTTAGTAACACGAACCGGAACAGAGGTCATGATAATTCTCCATATCAATAATTGTTTTATTATTTATTTAAATGATGGAACAGCCAATATATTTACGTGTATTCACAATTCTTCAGTACTTCGACAGTCCTCATGACGGCACTATTTGTGTTTGAGATGGCAGCAAAAAGACGAAAGTCTGATATCTCTAAAGTGATTCTCATTAAAATCTTGTCGTTCATATGGGTGTGATTGCTAATGTGTTTCCATGACAACCATATAAAAATAACAATTATATTGAATCAACTCTGAGATACAAACAGACTTTCATGTTTTTGGTACCATTCCAAGAACTACAAAAGTGGCAGCGTAACTCAACACTCAAGACATGAAAAACTGTATATAACTGCCTATTTATATTCATGCACGTTTGTCCACGTATATATTACTTGCAATTGTTCAATTTAGTGGTTTTATTATTAAGGCTTTCATCGCGCTTGGAACAACCGTGTGCAAGTACGCCATCCCAACTTGTGGATCTTTATAAGGCATTTGAAGGATCTTCAGGCTCAAACCAATCAAGGCATCCGTTCTATGGATAACGGTGGGCAACCCACACGAAGGCATCGCCGCTGGCAAC